GGCACGGTAGTCGAAGCAATTTCTTGTCCGCGAAAAGCGCCTTTTTGATATAAGGAGTCGTCAGCGTTTTTGCCATCTTGAATCCAAATCGCCCTACGAGCTGTGATATGTCATCGGCAGCCTGTTGGATTTCGCGCAATAAGACCGTGGGCTCCGGTGCTGACGGCATCACAACAAGCTCAGACAATGTACTGTCGTGGGTGAGGCTGGGGGTGTAGATTCCATAGATGCTAGCACCGTCTGTGAGCGTGGCCGTCGAGGCGGTCCTGGCCCTACCACCCTGATCAGGTATCTTGCCATCGCCAGAGGAAAAAGGTGGAAGATGAGACATTGCATGTATACTTTGATCTCGCAAGCAAAAGGTGCTTGAATTGAGCAGGAACTTGGCGATAGATAATGCAGACAAGAGTGTGCAAAAGACTGCAGGCTGCCGACACCTATGTATATAGTCTCCGGACATGGCCTGTACATGCGGCCGCTGCGACGCCTGGCTCGCAGAGCACTCTCTGAACTTGAGCAATACAAGCCAGGACCCCAGTCCATTTGGCAGTGGATTCAGTCCCCTGGTCAAGGCAGAGCAAGTTCAGCGTAGAGACCCTGCACGCCCTCACAAACGCCAGCACACAGCGCCTTGTTATCCGGCGGCTCATGATACTCATACTCAGTCACTTCACCTTTGCAAGCTTATGGAAGTAGACTCGTTAGCTAACTCTCATAGCCCCTGAGGCGCATTCGGCTGGTTAAGCCGTGAGGCAGACTGTTGGTATTAGGCTTAGCAGGCAAGTTCACTGCCAAAACATCCGCCATTGCTCCCTCGCTCCGTCACGCGATTCCATCCTACAACATTCATCCTCTACTTCCTCCCCCATTGAGCAAATCATATCTGCTTACTCTTTGGCTTCAGCGGAAGGTCTCAACACATTCTGCGTACAATGTCGCAACTACCCAATCTAACTGTCGGATACATCTGTACGGATGCCAAAGGCGCTTGTCTGCTGTACCATATCGTCGGCTAGGTCAGGTGCAAAGCACCTTGACATGACACCGCCGAGCTCGCCTTCCAGTTCGCGAAGTCTGCCCGGCTCAAACAAAAAGGCTTGAAGACATACATCTAAATGTCTAAGCGGGCTTTGAGCGAACCTCCGGATCGCCAGGAGAATGCCCTGCAGATCGTTGCAACATGTATGCTTTTGTTTTATTGAGGCATGATTCCAAAACTCCGAGCCGGGATATGGGGAGGAATTCGTATGTATTACTTAGATTGCCGCAGTTTCCTCTATATACAGACCGAAAGCTTCATGCAATTAAGCCGTCCTACTCCGGAAAGCGGATGGCTACCTTGGTTTCCTTCTTTTCATTGAAGCGTTTGTAATACTCTGGTGCGTCCTCGATGCCAATAACTGCGCTGATCACAAAGCTTGGGTGGGCTTTGCCGCTGTTGATAAGGTCGATCAACTGGGGAGCGTACGGCTTGGGATCAACGGCTCCTGTTCGGAAACTCAAGCCCTTGGCGAAGAAGGACGAGACGGGGAAGGAAATCGTGGGCGAGATGTCGCTGCCGTACGGTGCGCCAGGCGAATCGTCCTGCGAACTATACACGCCCAGTTGGCCCATGCCTCCCTTAAAATGCGCCACGTCAATCATCTGTTGTGTGATAGTGCTCTCGTCCATCTCAAGACTCGAGTTCAACGCCTCCATGCCGACACAGTCTACAGTGCGCATGACCCCGTCC